GTGAGAAAACGGCCCGGATCTTTTCATTTTTTGCTCGATTAGGTGATTTTCTGGTGTTTGGCGCTTTGTTTCCTCCGATTTCGTGCTACATTTCTCGAGGACTTTGAGATCTGCGCTTTGAATAGGCGCCTACATGCATGGTAAGGATGTTATACTGGGATAAAGGAGGTCTTTCGCTGGCGAGATAGTGTTGGAATAGAGAGAAATCGCGAATGTCTTGCTCCGAGATTTTTTTCAGTTGGCGCATCTGATTTTTCTTTTGAGACTCGGTTGGATTGTCGTTTGTGTCAATTTACTAATTTCTGGAACCTGCTTGATTTAGTTGCTGAAATCATTTGTTAGATTCGTTTAAGGGTTTCTATTGCCAAATTGGTCTCATCCGTGGTTTTTTTGAGTTTTGAGGCATGTTTTTCTCGTGATGTTCTACCAGATAAACGAAAATGAGAGAAATCTTGCACATCCAAGGTGGACAATGTGGCAACCAGATTGGTGCCAAGTTCTGGGAGGTTGTCTGTGATGAGCATGGCATCGACCCGACTGGACGCTACACTGGCACCTCTGAACTCCAGTTGGAGCGTGTCAATGTGTACTACAATGAGGCTTCATGCGGGCGCTTTGTACCTCGTGCTGTTCTCATGGATCTCGAGCCTGGTACTATGGACAGTGTACGGACAGGTCCTTATGGCCAGATCTTCAGGCCAGACAATTTTGTGTTTGGGCAGTCTGGTGCTGGTAACAATTGGGCCAAGGGGCATTACACAGAGGGCGCAGAGCTCATTGATGCCGTTCTTGATGTTGTGAGGAAGGAAGCAGAGAATTGCGACTGTCTTCAAGGTACATCCATAGCTTTCTTCTTGATTTTAGCTGCGGGCTTATTCATTATTCGTGCTGGATCTAATCTGCTTTTGGTAAATACTAATCCTTACTGTACATGTAGTGCAGAGGCTGAGATTTAAAGTTTTGTAACGAAACTTCGTTTTGCAGGGATGTGGCATGTGCTGTTTGATTTATCCACTTTACTTGCAAAACTGTCTTACCGAGGATTTGTTTATTGTGCAGGGTTCCAAGTCTGCCACTCGCTCGGTGGTGGAACTGGTTCTGGAATGGGAACCTTGTTGATTTCAAAGATCAGAGAGGAGTACCCTGACCGAATGATGCTCACTTTCTCAGTGTTTCCATCACCAAAGGTATCAGATACAGTAGTTGAGCCCTACAATGCCACCCTGTCTGTGCATCAGCTCGTGGAGAATGCTGATGAGTGCATGGTCTTGGACAACGAGGCTCTATATGACATTTGTTTCAGGACTCTCAAGCTGACAACTCCTAGTTGTGAGTATCATACTTATATATATAATTCAGTCTAGAAGCAGTGGATTTATGTAGCTTATTGGCCGTGATAGAATTAACATTGGTTGACTAACTTCATTACCGCTTTGCTATCTAGTATTATTCTTGAGAGAGTCAATCAAGCATCTTCTGACTGTCAAATGCCTTACAACTGATAACTAAACTTGGATGGTTACGATCTCTGTTTGCTTTTATTCATTATTTGTCATTGGAGTCAATTGATGAATAATAGGGGACATAGGCTGAAGCTGAATTTGGATGTTGTCACATGCTGACATTTTGTCTTGAAGGACTATCATTGATTATTTGGATATGTAGATATGTTTTCGTTGTAATTTGTTGATATTTATTTAAAATCTTTTAGTTGGAGTATGGCAGGCCATGGCAGGTCCACTTGATATGTAACTATGATTTACAACATTTGATTGGATTAATCATGGGGATTGGATAGCCATCATCAAAGCCCTTACTGTAGGAGTGACTTTGGTCTGAGAATCATATATTGTTCCGTAGTATTTTGTGAAGAAATTCTGCTTTGGACATTTGCTTCCGAAGTATTTGATCTGCTTCTCCATATCAGTTGTGATATTTTGATGCTAAAGATTGTGTGATAATGTGTACTGGTAGTTATACAGCATGTAAGTATAATTTGTTTGCATTTGTGATGTCTATTGAAGCTTATACGGGTTTACTTATATTGCAGTTGGTGATTTGAACCATTTGATTTCTGCTACCATGAGTGGGGTTACATGCTGCCTCAGGTTCCCTGGGCAACTGAACTCTGACCTCCGAAAGCTTGCAGTCAATCTCATCCCCTTCCCTCGTCTGCACTTCTTTATGGTCGGATTTGCCCCTCTCACTTCCCGTGGCTCTCAGCAGTATCGTGCTTTGACTGTCCCAGAGCTCACTCAACAGATGTGGGATGCAAAGAACATGATGTGCGCAGCAGACCCACGCCATGGTCGCTATCTCACTGCATCAGCCATGTTCAGAGGCAAGATGAGCACCAAGGAAGTCGATGAGCAGATGATCAATGTCCAGAACAAGAACTCCTCTTACTTTGTTGAGTGGATTCCGAACAATGTGAAATCCAGCGTCTGTGATATTCCTCCTAGGGGACTCTCCATGGCATCGACTTTCATTGGTAACTCGACCTCGATTCAGGAGATGTTCAGGAGGGTCAGTGAGCAATTCACGGCTATGTTCAGGAGAAAGGCTTTCTTGCATTGGTACACTGGCGAAGGCATGGACGAGATGGAGTTCACTGAAGCCGAGAGCAACATGAACGACCTTGTGTCAGAGTATCAGCAGTACCAGGATGCAACAGCTGATGAGGAACTCGAGTACGAGGATGAGGAGGAAGCTGAGCATGATATGTAAATGGTAATATCGAGAGGGGTATTACACCGTTGTTTCAGCAATTTATGCTGGTTGATGCCTAAGTACTTAATCCGGAGAGCATCTGGAGAGTGCATTTTCTTTTCAGTTTAATCTCAGTACTTGGATATGCAAAAGTTACATTGTCACTGTTCATGCTTGCTTGCAGCTATTAATAGTATCTACTTTGCTATTACATTTTAGTAAAACCTCTAGTTATTCACATCTCTCGAGTATTGGGCCTTTAACCATGAGCGACAAATGATCTGTTCTTCACTTCTCATATTCTCGATGAAAGTGGTTTCTGATTCCAAGCAAGCGAACGGCAGTTTTCACTTGGACAGGTTGCTGTAGAAATCCGGAACTCGCTTTCTCAGCTTGATGAAAATGATGATGATATTTTAACCGCAATCAGATTTGATTTTGATATCTGTGAACTGAGTAGCTGGCTTGCTTGTGCAATGATAGATAGGTACATATGATTGCGATGCGGTACTCTTTTGGTATGAATTCGCCCAATGATTGTGGTACCGATTTCAATTCAGTTCGTCCGTGATGGGCATGGAATACAAAACAAGTACAGCAACCACCGCCCTTCTTAATTATCTGTTTGAAATTTGATGCCTTCAACTGGGGTCAGAATTCGAGGAAGCTGGTAAGTGAGAACGTTTGGCGAGTTAACTGGGAGATGAAATCGATGACAATCTCAATGGGACCCGGACAATATTTACTTTTTTATTTTTTGGGTCAGAGGACAAAATTTACGTTAATTGGCCGTATTCACAGAATGTAACTCACCTGATATTTTGCATTTCGTAATTAATGGAAAGGATTCAAGACGGGACGTTTATGTCCTATTGATAGAATTGATGCAGATGAAAGGTCAAGTTCAACGTACGTTTGGCATCTCCACGTGAAACAGACCAAAAAGCTATCAACCCCATGTAATTGGACCCCACCCCACCCCACCCCACCCCACAGTACCGACACTAACTTTTTCGACACTCTTTTTTTCCTTCTTTATAGCAAAATAATGGAGTGAGGTGAGCCAGCTACCGACTTCTTCTAAACGTCATCGTTTAGGAAATTTTAGATTTGAGTGGTAATAACTTTGCAAATTTTTTATTTGAGATTAACGGGCCTATCATCATAACCTCATATATGGCAACCGAAATATCTCTTTACTCAGATATGTCATGTTTAGACAACTTAATACGTGTCGTTCAAAGGTTTGCTCCCGACACATATCAAACTTGTCATTTTTTTTACCGTCTGATCTAGGTTCACTGTCGAGACCACCATAACCAACCTGCGCAACCATTCCACGACCATTGATTTCACGGAAACCATCTGATCTGACCCACAAACATTGGTTCTTGATAAGAGACCCCAAAGTAATCAGCAAGCGCATGTGATGCCTCGCGACCGTAACATAGCGTCCATTGCAAGTCGCACACCTTTCTCCTCCCTTTTCTACAATCTTATCTTTTTAGCTCGTAACATGCAAAATGCAAAGCCCAGATCAGCCACCGCTTCAGAAATTATACCCGCACCGAAATGCGTTCCCGTCAGAGCTCACATGGCTTGTTCATCGCGGGTCGTGACAGGGAAATTGCTTGAAAATGAGGGGACAATATTTCGGATGCAATAATGGATTAAGCTCGTTATCGACGCAAGGCATCTCCCATGACCTTACTCTCTCTCTTTTTCTTCTTTTACGGGTCTGTCTTTGCTTTTTTTCCTGTGCAGAGGTTTTTGCAGTTCAGCTGCGTTTTGGTGGGGTTACACGAAAGATCTATTCCTTGCTCGATTCTCACTAAAATGGGTTTCACTTGCTATGATAGAACAAGATAGTAGCTGCTTTACACGAGTGCGGATTGTTGGATGGTCCATTCTTTTTTCTTTAGGCCTTCCTTTGAGTTCATGTGATTGCCGACATTATCTTTGTGTATGCGTGAAACATTCATATGAGCATATTAAAGAAAAAAAAGGCACAACCATAAGCTGAGTTACTTCTTTCGCGGGGTTATCTCCTGAATTATCTTTGTTTTTTCTTGTGAAACTCAACATGATTTGGACAGGATAAAGCATCCGGACAATTAGTCACTGGTCTTATTCTAAAAAGAAACCGAATCCTCCCACATTAACCTCTCCTGACTCCATTGGAAATACCACAGTGGTTTGGAAGCTAGCACGCGAATACGGACACACACAAACAAGACTGATTTGGTAATTTGAGACTGAAGTGGGGTCATATTAGTCACAGGAAAAAGCTGGAAACAACTCAACCTCAACGCCTACTCTCTCTCTCTCCTTTTCTTGTCCTAAAATCGACTGTCCTGGTCCACACTCAAACATAAACATTCAGCAACTGCGACTTCCTATGTTCCACAGATCCCAAGACACAATGGCACAGAGAAGGTACAGTTTTGGGCTTGTGACATTTTTCTTCTGCATCTCCTGTATTGCTCTCATTTCGCTCTCAGGATGTGTTGAGGCTTATCAGAACTACACTGTGGGTGGCTCTCTCGGTTGGTATGAAAACCAAGAAAAGCCTGAGATTGATTACCAAAGGTGGGCTTCTGGCAAGAACTTCAGCTTGGGAGATTTCCTCAGTAAGCTCTCTCACACCCACAACAATCTCAAATATCATCTTTCTTTGGTGGGGTTTTCTTGTTTGTACATTAAAGCTTCTTGTTCGCTTTAAGTCACAGTAGGCATAACTACTCCCCCGCCACTGAGGTGAGGCTTGTTTGGCTTGTGAAACTTTTGGAAATTGATTATGGTGCCACCGGAGTTGTTGCCTTTATTTGGAGTAGTTTTATTTACAAGTGTTTGATCACATCAGTTGTGATCATGGCTCTGCAAATTAGACAATTTGTGACTTGTCAGGATCTGCTCGAACATTAAGCAAAGGGTCTGATTTTTACTGTTCACGCCAAAATGAATTCAGTAATAAGACTCACGGTAGTTAAGAGATAAGCCCCAACCTAACTGATCAAGTGTTATTCCCTTACTGGTTTTAGCTTTTAAATATAGTATAATTGCACAGGAGTTGTGTCTGAAGTGGATCTGTTCTTTCTTTTAATTATCGAACCTTTGTGGGTTATGCAGTATTCAACACTGACACCAACCACTCAGTTGTGCAAACATACAATTTCACCACATACAAGCTCTGTGACTACGACGATTCCTTGGAAAAGGACACTGTCCTATGGTCGTCCGGCGATCCGTCCAACACCGCCACTCACCCAGTCACTGTGGCCGTTCCGCTCATGAAGGAGGGGACGAATTATTTCTTCTCTAGCGATTATGACGGTGAGCAATGCCAGAACGGCGGCCAACACTTCATGATCAATGTGACCCATGGGCAAGGCCTGCCTGAAAGTCTGAAGAACCCATTGGACCAGTCGCCGGGTCCGGTGAGTCCTGATTCAGGGGATGACTCGGCACCCGACACTGTGGTTCCGTCCAATTTCAACAATCCGCAAGAACAGAGCACTGATGACAATGAGTCATCTGGGTCTGTTACTCTAACAGCTTTGGGTGATAAGGTCTTCAATGGAGTGCTCTTGATGTTTTTGGGGACTACATTGCAGACCCTGATGACTTGAGTTCTTCATACACTCTGATCTATCGATCTTCTTCTTCTTTTTTTATACAGATTTTTATTCAAACTGTTTACTAGATACGCTATACAGTATTCTTGGACAACATGGAGCAAATGATTCAAGGATGATTTTACCCAAAAAAAAAAAAATGATTCAAGGATGATTAGATAGATAAAGTAGAAGCTCTTTGTTTCTAGAAGATATGCAGATCAGTCAATGATTGCAACACCAATCGTCTGGAGAAATTCATACGCATTGCAAGAAAGGTGAAGCAGACAAGTATGCATTAGAGCATAATGAATGATGGGCTGGTGCACAAGGAGAGTTGTTCAGGGTTTCTGTCATCTCTCCATGATTTCTCCATTTAAAAAAAGTTTTGGGACGACATAGCTTTTGCTTACTGAATTGAACTGTAGTGAAGTGCTTTGATTGCTGACTGAGGTGCTGCGTCATATTTAACTCATGAATTATGAGGACGCACCAAACAAAAACGAGTATATATATGAATAGCAGTTAATCGGTCCTTGTGGCCATGATCTTGAACTTACTATATAAAAGAGAGGCAATGATGATAATGTCAAGGAGAAATTTGCCAACACCAGCTAGCGATGAGTTGGCGGTTTGCACTGCGATAGTCAATTCTTGCAGCATAAAACATTCAGATGATAGCTCTGCTTTCATGCCAAGGAAACATGGTGAAACAACACCGCGGCTTATTAACAAGAGCAGGGATTTGATTTTGTTAGGAAAAGGCTAATCAATTGCCTGAGTTTCATTACCTTTTCCCCTTTTGATATTTAGTTTCTAGACAACGAAGAAATTTCTTCAGGCGAAAATCGTTGATGTTATGGGGTGTACAGAAATCCAGCTTTGTACAGATCACGAAATTCATTGTTACCAACATCAGACCGAATACCCTGACAAGATTTCATTAGTGGACGCCTTGGAACTCTTACAAGAGCTTAAGTTTGTTTCAGCATGAGCTGAGCTTGTGACAATTGAAAGCTACGGGGCCATCGGCTAGTCAAGTACCTATGGATGTTTATGAGGCTCGTTGTTTGGTGATGTGTCTGTTGAAAACTCTTATGAGGCTCGTTGTAGGCGAAATATTCAATAAGCAAAATGAGGCAAAACTTCAGTTGTTGATACCCTACAGCAGCAAATTCCTGCCTTCTTCAGGGTCTGAGCACCGGACATTTTTGTAACATCATGCGACATCGCCGGTTTCGCGTGCATCTCGCAAAAAAAAGACATGTAAGGCAAGGTCTGGTCCATTACCTAAAGTTTGCTAAAGTTTCAAGACTTGTGCTGTGCTTTTTCTCTTAAGCAATATTCTATCGACAGGTCATGCTAGGAAAAGGCTGAATTCACATGCTAGGAAAAGGCTGATGTAGTTATGTTATACAGGGGTTGATGGAAAGACCCACTACGCCTCAGTTGTAGGAGGCAAGCGCCTTGAGAGCCTGATAGGACACGGTCCCAACGGTGTCTGAACACTTGACCAACTTCACACTCGAGTGATAATGTTGCCAATGAGTCACTGACAACGATGACACAGAAAGACTTATGTAATGAGAATTAATGGCTTTCCATTGCAACGTAGGCTCAAGTGTTCGTGAAAGCCCAGTTCGAATCAGCTCTAGCTAAGGTTTGAAGTCTCATGGATCATTTAAAAAAGAAAATCAAGTTGCAGAACAGTAGTACTCCTTGACAGTAATTGTTTCATGCCTCTGAGAGTAAATGAAGAGCACGCTTAATCATGAAGAGTCCCCAAGATGTCTTCATCTCTGTACAGATGAAACCTGCATCATCGAAGGTGACTAAATGAGAAATGTAAAGCTAACACAAACGATACCTTGAAGCAGCTATTGCAAAAACAGGAGAAAGAAGCACTAGCATGCAATTTTAAAAGCAAGCCAATGAAAAAATTTAAGGTTATGCGCAAAAAAGCAAGCCAACGAAAAAATTTCTGCCCCATGGTCAGTTGTCACTGGCTCAGTCTAGCAGCAAAGTAGACTATGATTCTACCACCAAAACAAACCTTAAAAATATGACCAGAGGAGGACATGATATAACGAGTTGGGATTGGCAAAAATACGAAAGTCGTCCTAGTAGCCAATCTTTAAGGGGGATTACCCACGGAAGGGTATATTATCAGCCTCCGCCATTTCATTCATTTGGAGTGGCAAGTAGTTGATAAGGCACAATTCAAGAGGGAGATCACATTGCGCAAATGAAGAAACGGGTTGTTGCAGAAATTAACAGTACAGAGGCAAGATGTACAACTAGGATACATCCAAAATGTACACTAACTTCACAACGAAGAGTTGACTGAACCGGTTGCAACTTGCAAGCAGAAAGTCACACAAGATTATGAACTTACTCTTTCTCGCCAAGCTTTACTTCAGTTCCACCATATTCAGGCAAAAGAACCATCTCTCCTTCCTTCACGCTAACAGGAATAATCTTCCCATCCTTATCCCGAGCTCCAGGACCCACTGCTATAACTTTTCCAGAATTCAGCTGCACCGCAAGCATTGGGAATAATAATAAAACCAACCAAGAATTAAAATGTTTCAATCGCGACGACAGACAGCAACATCAATCCTAACATAGATAGAAAAGTCGGTTGAATGACAATGCCGTAGATTGAGTCATGTCAGGGCTTTGATTCCCAAAATCTTCATTTCCGTAGTCTAGACAACCCCATCTATTGTATGCATATCCTGATATGCATGCGCATGTGTGTGTAGAGAGAGAGAGAGAGAGAGAGAGAGAGAGAGAGAGAGAGAGAGAGAGAGAGAGAGAGAGAGAGAGAGAGCACCTATCTTTACTCACTCTATTGAGAAAATATGATGAATTTTCTCAAAAAGGACAGAAGACCCACGTTTTTAGATGGGAACTACGAATGACCTTAATCCTACCAGAAGAATGCATGGCAGTAGAGGTAGAGCATCGTGCCAACAGAACCACGATGTGCTCAAGTGATATGAAAAATGCTCAGTCAATGTCTTCCGACCATATTCAACACATCAGGAATTAAGAACTCATACAAGGTATGACCTAACCACTATTCTCGCTCACAATCTTAGAAAGAAAAGCCTCCTTTAATCCTTGCTAATGCCAAACCTTGTTCTAGCTAGGAGTTGAAAGATCGCATTCCCAATACTCGGGGAAATCTTCAGAAAAAGGGCCTATTCTGAATGTTACGATCGCCATTTCATTATAACAGCAAAAGAAGGTGAGGGAGAGTTTGAGCAAACTTGGTTAATTGCACAAACAATCCTCGAGCTCCTTATAGATGGTAAAAGGAGGGCCAAAAAGAAATGAAAAACCAACAGCATTGCCGCAGCAGGCAAATCCGGCATTAGCATATAGAACAACTCAAAAGTGAAAACAAATATCAGCAACATCAAGAAGAACTCATGGACTCGGAACGGGCATCGAAGAGAGGATAAAGCACTTACTAACTCAAGACGTAAACTTACTCTACACAGGGCATAATTCATTCAACAGTGAAGCTGCTTTCTACACTCGAAATTTACTCAAGGAACTGGAAAACAAGAGCACTAGTAGCTGCAATTACAAGGTTCAAGACTGCCACCGCAGCTCACGATGGCAGCAGCAGAAGCTCAAAAGGACTCGTAAGAATTCGACATCCCGCGACACCCACGAACAACCCTCGTAAGACGAGACATTTCCCGTCCTCCTCCTCCATCTAATTCTAAACCGAACGTTCGGACACGGCGGAGCAGCATGCCATTGCAATGGATCCTAGCTGAAAATACCATTTCAAGAAAAGGAAGAAAGGGCGGACCTTGGTGGTCTTCTCGGGGAGCAAGATCCCGGTATTGGTTTTGGACGGAGGGACGATCTTCTCTATCAGGACGCGATTGAGGGTCGGGATCAGACGCTTCGCCATGGGAGGTGGGGGGAACGGGAGCGACCAGAAGCTTCTGCAACTGAAAGCTCGGGGGAGGATGATGGGTCTGGGAGAAGGAGGAGGAGGAGGAAGGTAGGGTTTTGGGAGGATTTATGGGCGCGTGCAAGTTCGAAAATGCCCCCGCGATGTATGGCGTTGTTTTCTCCTTTCTTGGTCGCCAAAATTTGCATTTAGCCTGATCTTCGTCATTTACAGCATTTTTCTTGATTTTGCCTTTTGGTTATGTGAGGATTTAATTTAGGTTAGCCGAATAAATAATCCCCGAAAATTTGCCAGAAATTACTTCCTAATCACCATACTCTAAAGAAGCCCTTCTCGGCAAGAAATTCGACTGTGTAACTTTTAAGGCGGAAGATCCCGTGGCCTCATAAAATGTGTAACTTCGTTTTCCTTGAGAAAAATCTCAGGCGCTGTTGCTCGTGCCTATTGCATGATAGGTGAATAGGATTCGTATCATGTAAGTTTGAAATAAAGTCTCGAGATACTCGTCGTTAGAAAAAGGTCATCAGATTGTTTGGTCTACTCTTATTTTTTCTTCGGTGCATTTTTCTCTCTCTGGTGCATTTTTCTTACTCTTTAAAATTTGGGAGATGAAGTAAATATATTAACCCAAAAAAATTCTCCCATGTTTTAAATTGCTACGATTTCAAAAGTTTTTAGATATTTGACGGTGAAAGTCACGTTTCAGCGGTCACAAAATAAAAAGAAGCAGGGGGTTTTGTTAAAAAGTGTATCTAGACATTCATTGACAAATCATTTTAAAATAAAAGTTATAATTTTTTAGATGCTTTTTTTCTCGTGTTATCAATAATCGATAGTTTAAAAAACGAAATAATTCATATTACAAGTTTCTCGGGACACTCTTTAACAAGACTCAAAAATAAAATGCAGATTGATAGCAACCAGACAATGCTTGATTTTCTTGACAACGTATGAATGCCTGGGATCTTGCACACACTTCAAGGCCCAGCCATTGTTCTGTCGGGGTCAAACCAGGCCCATTTTTTTATAGCCCTCGCACAAAAATTTCAGAAGGTTCAAGTCTTCTGACTTTCTGAATTTTGTACAATCGATTCATTCAGTCAATTGCTCTCACCAGACCGCTAGATTAATTAACGACATGGCATTGTGATTACGGAAGATATCGTCACATGATGCTAAGGTGGTGTCGAATGAGTGTTAAATTAGCGAAACTAGGAGAAAACGAAAAGAAAGAACAAATCCTAATTTGATAATATGAGTTACAACGCGTAAACGAAGCACTTGATTGTACCAATCAAGAATGTTTGAGCACTCGAATGAACGAAATAAAACTTTACAGGACCAAATCGCACGAATCGAAAACGATAGGGGACTTGATTGCATAAAACAAATTTTAGAAGATCAAATTGCACGCACACTAAAACTTAAAGGGAGAAATATATCTGCACTTCACCATTGCATGCCAGATTTTCTTGGGGTGCAAGTGTAAACATCAGCCAAGTGAGCATCAGGTGGTATAATTGCTCAGTTGTCTGCGAGAAAGTTCTGATGCAACACTAATTCCAGCTTCAGATTCAGATGGAACAGGATCAGCTACAATTCCCTTTCTATTTTTCTTTCCTTTTGTGGCTTTTTCTCCTTTTCAATTTCAAATTCACAGCACATGACTCACAGACATATTGGCATGCAGAGATGTAAATTTTCGAAGCATAGATACACCGTTTTCGAGTCTACCAGTGTCACACATCTTCTTACCTGCAGCTTGGGGACCTTTGTCTGCCAGAACTTGCCCCCACTTCCCCCTCCCTCTCTCTCTCTCTCATGGAGGAAACATTCTGGCTAAGTGAAAATTCAAGAAAACAAAAGCAGTACGTTTTAATGGGGAAATATCTAAATTCTGACAGGCAATAAGCAACAACCCTTGTAATGATTTTCCATTGGCGACAGTACATGGATAACATGGACAAATTCAAATCACTCAAAACAGATGAGCTCCATTCTTTCTTACCCGAGTTGCATAAGATTTTTCACTGTTTCTTTTTGTCTCTTTGTTGTTTTGTTGAGTTCGAGATGAAGCAACACATCGATTCACCAGGAAAAGCTCGAACCGAATTAAACACAGCTTTCAGCTTCAAAAGCCTCAGAAGAAAATGACAGCTTAATTAACCCCCTTGGCCATTAATCCACAACCACCGAAAAGTAAAAACGCCAAAACCACTCGTAACGAACACAGCCCAGTTTACTCATTACCCAACTACTCCATTTATAGCAGCTATATCACCAGTTCTTGATTCATCTTCTCTGTTGATACTTGACAAGCTATCACTACTCAAAACTGGAGATCAAAACTTTTACATGAAATTCTGGATATATAGCTCAGGGCATATTTATGGACAGTACATACTCAAACCTCGGATATCATGAACAGAGATATCAAGAAAATATATAAAAAAAAATGAAATTTCAAGATGGAGACACCTTCAATTCAAAGCTTGATGCAGCACAGAAGGCAAAACTCTGCCTCAAGAGTTCATCTGTTATGTAAAGGATTTGGACCTGTGTAAACTCTCCTCTTTTCATCACCAAAAGGGCCATCACCCTCTTCATGTCTTGCTCCACCGAAGTTTGCATTGTCTGGCTTCACTGGACTCAACCCGGAAGGGCTGGGCTTAGTCTTGAAGCTTGCAAATCTAGCAGACCCATCAACAATAATGGAAGTTTCCAACAGCAACAGCAACAAAAACAGCAGAGAGAAGCAAGCAAACTCCTTTCCTGAGCCCATCAACTTCAAGAGTATTGCCTGATCCGTACATGGAATGTTGTCAGCCTCAAGATACTGGAAAGTGGGAAGCAAGCAACTTTTGCATTTTTTTGGATCTGATTCCAAGAAGAAGCAAAGCAAATTCAGAGTTTTCTTTTGGGGGGGTGATAGCATGAGAAGGAGACCCTTTTCGTTTTTCCCCTTTTTGTGGGTTTCTTTGCTTCGGTTTTCTGGTGATTAGCCTTGGAGTTTGAGCTTATGGGGATTGAAATGGCGGAGGGTCAATGAAGGGAGAGAGTCAACTTTTGCATAGGGCTTGGTGCCTGAAAGGAGGTAGTAAATGAGGTTGCAGAAGGTGCTTGCTTTCTGATTTCAGAGCCTGTTTTCAACTTTGGGAAGCCTCTAAAAGCCAAGCGAGTAATGGCACTGTTGGCGTTAAAAGACAATTCTGTTTGTTTGTTTCTTTTTCTTATTTTGTCAAGACGTTGAACAAATGTATTGCATATGAGAGAGAGAGAGAGAGAGAGAGAGAGAGAGAGAGAGAGACATTGATCTCATGTCACTTTCCAGGTAGTAGATGCCATTACTCATTCACTGCTCTCACATAATTATGAATCGTCTATAGTCTCTCAAGGTATGTATGGAAGTGAGGACATGAATACATTTTAAAAAAAGAAAAAAGAAATTCTTAATCATTTTATTTGAAAGTTGCTTCATTTTCAGATCGAATGAGACAGAATGTTAGTGGTTCTCTCTCTCTCTCTCTCTCTCTCTAACTCCTCCCAGTATCAATCAGGGCAATATAATGGGATTAGCATTCCAAAGTTGTAGCAGCTCCTTTACTTTGTTAATGAAGTTAAAAAAAAAAGAATACTTTCACTTTCTTTCTTCTTGCTAGGTATCTTGACATTGATATCCAAGAGCAAATGAGCTCTTTTTCCTTGGTCAAAAGAGAGAAAAAACATATGCTCGAAATAGTCAAAATATTAGGAGCTGATAGGTGGGCCATGAGGGAGTGGGCGGTGAATATGTGGGAGCATTCATTTTTCTTAGGGCAAATGATGTTGTCTTCATTCACTCTCTCATTCACAATGGAAAAAGGAAGTCTCGAGTGTATGAAAGTCGTGGACAATTGATTTTTGCACACTCCTCAAATGGCCCAGTGACTTGTTTAACAACGCCATTATAAAATCTTACTTTAAAGATCACCTCCTTTTCTTTGCCTTTCTCGCTTTTGCCTTTTGCCCATCTGATCTTCTTTCTTTCAATCTTTTTCTGGTTTTTTTTTCCCATCTAATTCTCTAACTTCCCCATCTCTTTTCCAAAAACTCAGAGATCTCAAAAGGAGCTTAATCTGATTTAAACCCACATGAGCCCAAAATTATAACATTGCCAGTTGTGTAGGCCACCACAAACCCAGCTGACGAGTTCTCCACAAGCAAACCAGACTTGCTTCACACAAACGTCCCATATGATCGTAGATGCACAGAAGCCAAATAGAGGGATCAATAGATTCATGGGGTCTGCTTATATTTCTGGGCAAGAATATTGTAAATAGCGTTTATACACTTCGGGACAGGGCTATTGAATTAAGATTCAAACATTTGCGAAAATTCATCTCGCACGCGAAAGCAAAATTTAGCGTACTGATAGCGTTCTCAAATAATGGTCCAAAATTACTCGAGTTTCAAAGTCAATACTTATCATTCGAGAGACTTTTGGTATGTGGATTTTTAGACATGATGATCTAATATCATACAACAAGCAGCTGATTTAGCAGGAAAATGCTTTAGCATCAGTCGTCGTCCATCACACTGCATGCAGTACTTTTAAGATGTCTATCACGTTGATTTTTTTATTTTGAGTACAGCATAATAATCCACCCAAAGAAAAGACAGAAAACCCATAAAGCTTCCTCTTTCGTACAGGATAGACGATACAGCAAAATTACAAGAAACAGTGCCTTAGTGCTCCTATTCAACGACACAAACTTGAGCCCTCCAGCTTTTTCATAATGAGTTACAACAACTGATACCACAAAAGCAAGAGGGTTTGGGGCAGATCAGTGAAACACATCTTGATGGATTTCATGAGTGCCCAAAATAGCTTTGACTGGGAGGGAAGGACACTGTTGAGATGAGACAATGTGGCTAATTGAGTACCCTGAGGCATCATTAGGGCAAAGAACATGCATTTTTGGTGGACTAGCAATTATCAGTCTCTTTTTTCACCACCTCTTTTCTTTCACCTTTTTATTCTCTCTTTTGCTTAACTGGTCAAGGTCATGGTGCCACACATCATCATTGGAAATTCAACTACTCCCATGAAAAAATTCACACCGGGGACTCTGTTGAAGTCTCAACGAGATATTGTGATCGAGTTAATAAAGGATGATGTTAACAAATTTGAACGAGTCATGATGCTATCGCTATCAAGTTTTTGGCAGGTTCTTTCGTCTCAAGTTGAATGTCACACATCCGGTTGCCGTCAGAAACGATTTGAAAATGCAACGACAGATCCAAGAAAATTAGCTTTGGGATATACTTTATCTCAGTTTCTAAGTCAAGCGAAGAATTAGATTATGATGTTAAATTTCTATATTGAGCATCATCGAAAAAATACACTTTCTGGTCTCTTCTATACTTATCTAGACACTAGGAGTGTACGATACTGACCAGAATACATATATAAATCATCTTGCTTTGGGCAAGAAAATGATATAGAAAACTTAGCACTTTAATTTCTTCATATCTTAGAGGCATCTGCCGTAGCACGGCATAAGGCAACGGCTGTCTTCGAACCAGATGGCCGGCACAAATGTTTGCTTATGAATTCTCCAGCCACCAAGAGCTTTGCGAGGTCCACATTGGTCTTCACGCCAAGCCCGTTGAGCATGTACACCACATCCTCCGTGGCAACGTTTCCTGTTGCTCCCTTCGCATAGGGACAACCGCCTAATCCCGCAACGGAGGAATCTACTGCGCTAATTCCCATCTGTCAAAGTTAAGTGCAAGAATTAAATTGCAAATATCATCTTGAGCACTAAGGTCTATCATTGGGCTAAACAGCAACAAACTCGGTAAGATATATCATTCTGAGGTAATATTCAACCAAACAAATGACTGAATAGTATCGTGCTGGAAGGGGATGAAATTATGCATCAAGATGAGAGACTTTCAATGTCCTCTTTTGAGAAACTTATTACGAGGATAAAACCAAAATTATCTGACTCGCATTATCGAAAATGAGCTGCAAAATGGAAAAAGAAATGCAAGAAGATGCTTTAAAAACCGCAGTAGTCCAATTCAAGTGAACATAGGTATACCAAGATGCTTCTGGCATTGCATTCCAATAGAGAAGTGGTTTTCCATATTCAGCGAAAGGCCATAATATAACGGGAAGATCCAAATGCAAAGAAAGCTCATGTTTGCTGGAAAGAAAACCACTCAGGCAAAGCCAGCTTCCATTTTTGCCACAGACGGAATGATAAACAGATTAAAGATAGACTGTAAGCTGCTTTAGGCATGATATATGCGCATTAGAAAGATCAAAGGCATAACAAAAGATGGTTTTTTAGCAACTTACTTGGAGGGAAATCAAAATATTAGGGAGAGACTGCCCATAGGTGTCATGAAAGTGAACAGCAAGTTTGTCAGCTGGGACAACAGCCATTACAGCTTCAAGCATTGGAACAACAGTTCCTGAAACACACGTCGACAAAGCGAGAAGATCAATGGAAAGTTGAAATCATGTGGACAAATGCTTCAGACTAAAAGAAGGTGAATAAAGGAGACTCCCTTTTATTTAAAAATTAGCTAAGATTACTAATAGCAAAGATCAAAGAGCTTCACAAACTGTTATGTTCTCCAGAAAGTGAATGCTACTCAGGGGATTACTTTAAGGCAGTTAATCAACTGAATAAGTGTCCTCAACAAACATAGCATCTTAATCACAAATCGAACTTTGAATATTCACCTAGTAAAAATATAGAATGATGATGTGCTTTCATCGGAGAAGACCGATGAAGGTAAGACAAATAGAAGAAAGCTCAAGTGAATAGTTGAAGATTTTCAATACATCCCACGAACACCAAATTATCACACTTTCATCTTCATCCAATTTGCTTGTTGGAAAAGTACATCTTTGTTGATTACTAGACATAACTCAAACTCAAGATTCACTAACATCTCTAAGAGCTTTCTATCAAGATAAAACCCAGAGACCTTACTTAACTGCATCATGTAACAAAAAGAAGTTTATCCTAGGCAAAACTTTCTGCAGCTAAAAAACAAGGACAAGCACTTGTCGCTTCTGAAAATTACCAGGAGTACCAACCCCAATCGTATCACCGAGGGAAATTTCGAAGCACCCCATGTCATGTAGCTCTTTTGCCACATAAGCAACTTTTGAAGGTGGAATTGGTCCTTCTACTGGACATCCAATGGCACACGAGACATACCTAATGTTTTTCAAACAGCTCATTCAATTGAACAGCCAAAGCCTGATGAAGTGAACTGCTGCAACATGCCAATGTAGATGAAAGGAATCGATACGGTAACTCAAACAAACACCACAATAGGGATTGAGAGCATATTTAAAGTAGCCCTGAAAAAGTAAGTCTCACACTTAATAGCAGGTTTTCAGGACAAAATCAAGAAAACAGGATTTTAGGACAAAATCTAGAAAACTATTTCCACTACTTCTCCCCTTTTTAATCATACTGCAGCCAAAAACATTTTCAGTTTCCAGCAACCTCCTTCCTTCACAGCTGGAGTAAGTAGAAAACCAAAGCAATCCATAAAGGGATTCACCAAAAATCCTAACAAAGGGATTCGCTTTTATTATCATCTAACAACATAATTCACAGACAGCAAAATTTTCTTTGCTACACCAATTTTGATACCGGAGTTTAGACTCTAGCAATCTTATAAAGCTTCATAAGGTTGTATCTAGTTTCAATAGAACAAAACAGACACAAGCATATTTGTAGAGAACTGCTCACAACATCAGCACAGTATAATATAATAAAAGTTAATACTCTGTAGATCTGGATTGTGCTGTTTGGCTTCTCACTCACACACATGAGAGAGAGCACTTACCCACGGACAGGGATCGAGAGCGCTTTAGCAGCTTGAGTAACAGCACGGTAACGTGCAAGACTCTCTTCGATGCTACAATTAATGTTCGACTTCGAAAAGGATTCCGAAGCAGATGCAAACACTGCTACTTCCTTAGCACCAGCTGCTACAGCTGCTTGAAAACCCTGAAAGAAATGTGCTAATTTATATAGGAAAAATATCCATGATGCATCTTTGCATTCAAGTAGCATAATGTTAAATAATTTCATGATTCGGCCCATGACTACCTACTTTCATATTAGGAGTCAGAACAGGCAATCTGGCATCCTCCAAGTCACGTACTGCTTCCATTACATCCTTTGCATCCACCAGCTGAAACCAAGTTCACAGATTAGACAAATATAAATAGGCTTTCGGGAAGATGAGTAAGAAAGCTTCACAGAATTGAAAGTCAATGAGCTCTAGACATTTTGACTGATCTTCATTCCAAATATGTAGTATAATAGGTAGGCATAACTGCTGAATGGAATTTATGGACTAACAAGCACCTAGAACTGTAGATAATACTGCAGTAATTCCTGAAATGTGAACAACGAGGCTCTCAACAAGGAACACTTTGAAATTATGGCATCACTTGGAATCTAGAAGCCTACTAACCTGGGGAACCCATTTAGGTGATACAAAGCTTGTGGCTTCAACCACAGGCAACCCGCAGGACACTAATCTTTGTATCAATTCCACCTTGATTGCGGTAGGCACCGTATTTTTCTCATTCTGTAATCCATCTCTTGGACCAACTTCCACAATCTTCACAAACTTCGGAATACCTGTCAAAAACTGATCAAGCACGACAATGTTCAGATGACCAACACTTGACAATAGAAAGAAAGATTCTCTTGAGCTTAGATGCTAAGACAATTTATAAGCATGTGGGCTGCCAGTAGGTCACCTTGTTCGATGTGGTGCGTGTGTCTTTTTCATCACACTTGGATCTATACTGATGGTCCGGGAAGTACCAGGAAGTGCATATACTCCCAGCCACTGAGTCCTTCCTGCCTCCATTTGAAGATCGGGTGTAGGAGTCATTTTTGGACCCATTTCGGGTATACCTTTTCCATGGGAATGAATCTTCTGTATACTCATCATAGTCATTGCTGAATGGAAGAAGAAGAAGTCAGCTTTCGATATCAAGTACCTATTTTAGAAAGAATGACTATCCCAAATTTCAGCAGGATTTTCTTCCCAGATTTCCTAAATAGTAGGTGTTTCTTCTTCCTTCATGGTTGATACTCCCAAGCCAATAGATTCAAGCTCCCATAATCTAACATGAACTATTCTAGGCTCCTTAGATATTACCTAAAATACAGGAATGCACTTCTCACTCTCAAATACAGAAAAGAGGACTTGTGGGTCGCACTAATTCTTTGCTCATGATCTAATTTTTGTTAAGCCCTCACCAAGCCGAAAAAGGAAAAGAAAACGATGTTACAAACCCTTCAAAAACAAGCAAGTCATTCCTAAATCAATTAAAAATTTCCTGTTTAAATCGTATTCCTGATAAGAAAATACAGAAGAAACAGAGAAGACAGCTTAATCTTGTAGGTCATCTTCAGCAATTCAAAAGAATACCTGCAACTGTTGGATGAGCTACAATTCCTTCCTTCAATCCAGCAACTCCCCATTCCCATATCATCCATTCTCGGTCGACACGCACCGGATGAGAACCTCTGAATCCTATCAATAGTACTCATGCTGGGCAACTTGTCAAGACCAAGTGGCTCCTCCAAACTTGACATCGTACAAAAGTAATTGGAAATCCTGCATAATGATTACAAGTATCAGATACATCTGAACCATTAGAACACTGGATTTTAGTTCGGGCAATGCAGCTTCAGCACTTGAAGTTAACGCACAGATTACAGTACATGTTGTTCAGCTTACCAAGATAACAGAGTCGGGCAACACAAATATCGGTTACTCAATACATTGAGTTCACATCTAAAAAGGACCACATTATGCTCCTCTTTGATATCATTTTAGCTCCCTCTAGTTACCATCTTTTGTTATGATAAACAGCTTTTAAACTTTCATGCAGTGTAAGCATCAAACCTCGTGACCGATACGTCGTTGAATCTATGCCACCCCTACAGGATTAATGCTCACAGATCAAAGTATAGATACATTCTGGTGGAACGGCACTGATGCGAAACATAAAATCCTTGACCAATAATGTGATAAACAATCTTTACATAGATGGTGTGCAGACCTTCCTTTTGCAAAAACTTAGGTTCCTGCTTCCTCTGTAAATTCAGCAACTCATTGAGACACGACTGCAGGTGACTTGATAAACAACGAGCAAGTGCATCTAAAAATAGCAACACGACATTCACCGATACGACTTCTGAGCCACAACAGATCACACATTACTCCTAAGACACAAGGTTTCGTCAAAAAGATCTATAAAATCAGCCAAATTGGACTGATCTAAGAGCATTGTTTCTCACTTATTACTTTAGCTTCCAAGCGTGGATCACAAAGCCCCAACTAGCAATTCGCTCTTGTTTTCCATTTATTACTTTAGCTTCAAAGCGTGGATCACAAAGCCCCACACATCGAAGAGAACTCAAATCAAAAGCAGAGCAAGTAAAAGTTCGCAGACACAACAGAGCAAAGAGAACTCAAATCAAAAGCAGAGAAGACCAAGAAAAGTACCAGATCAAGACGAGGCAGAGCAAGGGGTTTCTGCTGGATATATAGAAACCCCAGAAACAAGATTTAACTTTTCTGGGAACCCAATCAAGGGGACTCCGAAGGAGCAAGGAAAAGTTCCTAATTTTTTGGTTGGGCGCGGTGTTAGATGGAAGAAGAAGAAGAAGAAGGTCAAGAAGAGAAGGTCAAGAAACGTGACGGGGTTGTTCAAAAAGCCTTTTTGTTTGTGTTTGGTGGAAGATGTTAATCTGGGAATTGCCTTTCTTAGATTTTCCTTCCGTTTTTCTCTTTTTTAGAGAGAAATAATTCTGGAGTGCGTCTGCGTCAGAACGGCAGAGGCAGAGAGACATGAATTGAATCGCCCGAAACAGAGAAGGTGGGAAAGATGGTGAGAGAAGGGTGGTAGGTAGTTGTCCGTTGGAAGTTGGCCTCTCTCTCTCCACAATATATTTTTTTCAATTCTTTAATGAAAGTTTGGCTCTCTTTCTCTCTCCACACATTTTTTTTTTAATTCTTTAATTAATTTATTGATTTTTTTTTACTTCCTCTCGAGCAAATTCTTTTTCGTTTTTTGTTGGTACACCTACAAATATGTTCGACCAGTCTTATTCTGGAGCCAGTTTAAAAAGATGAGAACTTTATCGTTCGCGTTTTGTGAAAGAATGTCTTAGGAGAATTTGTAAAGTGGTGTATTAAGACAACTCTGAAGTTTTTAATGTACCGATCGTTTTCGTATTGTACACAATCAACGTCTTGAAAGTTATATTATTTTGAACAAACTCAGCATAGACCGGAATGAGCTCGCGTGAGCAAGCCCCGTGATAGAGCTTGAGGTGGTGGCCATGCAAAGCTTTGTCATAGACTCGTAGGTTTGCCGGGGGAAACTAGGCCCCAATCTGGACCACATTGGATCACCCAATCTCGATCTAGACCAAATGTGAGGCAGCAACTGTAGCCGACCTTGAGTATGAGGGCTAGGCCCAAGGGTGGTCGGTGATAGGATGCAAATTGATATGAAAAATCACAAAACTCGAAATACAAGTTACGAGTGGATGGCATTTGATATGCGAGTGCAATGTTCTTGAGATTTTTAGCAATCATCCTTCATCTTAGTTTCGCTCTTAGACTGGCAAATAGAATTCGACCAATGCTCCGGCCAATCATATAAATCGAATTTCCAACTCAATGACAAAAGCCATACGAGAAAAAAAAATCCATAAAATCTCTCAAATTGCTATTGATGATTTCTTCTTTAAATGCACGGAAAATACGCCAAATGTATGTTTTGTTTTTCCTATTCCCAATAACAAGAAATTCCTGGCCCGAAAAATAGAATGAGAAGTTTGTCCTTTTGACTAACATGCGACGCAACTCGTGAATTCCGGAGATTTATCACGTGTTTTTTATTTTCCAGCTGCTGGGAAAAAAGAGAAAAGGCGAGTTCGATCAAAGCAGGTTCGTTAAATTAGTTGAAGAGAATTTACATCTAGTTGAATTCTGTTGACCACGGTTGTAGGAATTTACATGTACATAAGAAAGCGATCCTAGAATTAGATTCTTCTAGGATCCCTATGTCCTCCTAACTTTGGTGTTTTGCTGGCTCTAAATGCTAAGTTTCGCGCCGGGCATATCGCTCTTACATGGTCGACTTGGACTTTAGACTGGTTGGTTGGTCCTTCTCTTCCTAGTTTTCATCAAAGCTTTACCGCTACAAGCCACCGTTTCCTTCCTTTTCCTTTTCCTTTTCCTTTTCCTTTTTTTCCCTAAAAACTTTTCCTCCTAATAAATGGGTTTCGAGCTGTCCTCGCATTCGATTAATTTTCGCAATTTTACGAACAATTCCCGTCCCAAACGTCTTAGATGACGATACAAGATTTGCATTGAAATTGCGCAGTTCGCCAGCCTCGTGAATTTGGTTCTACAATGTCTTCTAAAGACAAATTTTATATTTTTTTCAATGAGAAAAAGTGCTCATCTTTTTCAACTTCATTGCGTTCGATATTAGTCTTCTTCTTTTTTGTACTTTTCAGACATAGTGAGTGAATGTCCTATGATGTCCGGTATTAAAATAGGAGAGAGCCACACGAAAATAGAGTCCATGTGGACCCTAATTTCGAGGGTGTGTGGAAGAAGCTGTCGTCCTAACACGACCGGTTCTCTAGGAAGCTGCCGCGTCCCACGTTCAACCAAAAATCGGTGGTGGACGTCAAGAAGACCGAGACGTGGCAGCAGAAAAGCGACAAGCAAGCGCCCTCCAATGGGGAGGCGACAGGTGTGCGAACGGCCGTGCACCTACCCCCTCTTGACATGGACTCGGCTCCAAACCAGAACCACCACACGAGCTTTCCTTCTTCTGCTTCCGTGACAATCCTCGGGGCTTTATCGTTTTATTCCATTTCAATGGAGGTTTTGTTCGAGACTGACAGATGATTGAAAAACTCAGTAAATCATCGGAACGAGTAATTTGGAGCGAATTTGGACCATCTATTTCGGGAAAAGAATGACCCATTTTCGATGCGACTTTGCTGAGAAATGAACCCATTTCTATAGATTTGGAGACGTACCAATGCCACTCATTCTCCGGTCTCGAATCAGGGCGGTCTCGAATCAGGGCAAGACCTCAAATGCACGCCTCACGAAATGTGAGGCTTCGTTCCTGATCAGCTACCAAATTCCGAACCATGTGAAGTGTATAGCGCGGGCCAAATTCATGTGGAGCTGTCCTGAACGATGTGTCCAAATTATGAAAAGAGTTGTGGTCGTTTGGCATCATCAATGCAAAGAGCAAGGGGGCTAGCTTAGCTACACATCCGCGGTCGACACCCGTACGATCATCGTTCGGGTATGTCTGTGCCAAGTGGGTGGTCACCGTGTAGTTTTCTAGTTAGTTTGTACGTGTTTCTACGAAAGCCCGTGAATCTGGAGATGATGGGCTTGAGCTGTTAGATGATGGGCTTGAGCTGTTCACCCCCACTCAACAGCCCATTGACCTCAAATTCAGGGATCTAATCGAACCTGTCCCAGGCACTAGCTCTCCTCCTTGTGCATGAGCCACGAACCAGCCACGAACCGAAAGCTTCAAGCAGCTTCTCTACCTTCTCTAATGTCATATTTTACATCCTGGGCTTGTTACAAATGAGAATACGACCTGGAACAATTGCTATGGTGATCAAAATCCTTGCAAGTTATGAGACGAACTCGAGAAGCGGTGCGTTTGACCGGCTTTCGGGAATCAACCCTCATCATCTAGTCTTTCGCCTCCCGATATAGTTTGATCTTTGGTGCAGAAGTTTGGAGCTTCTTAAATCATGAGTGCATGAAGCTCTTGACTGGTGGAATATGTTAACCGAATGCTCGTCAGAGAATTCTTTGAGGTTAGATTTCCCCCCAGAAAAATGAATCGGTGAAAACAAACGGAGCGACGAAGAGAAGAGCTAAGAGACCAATTCCTTGACAAATGATAATGAATCTGACTTCAACTTCAAGCCTTTTCCGTAGGCGGCAATAAGAAGAGCCTCAGCTCTACCTACATCATGGCAAATCAAGAGAACACTTGAGACAAATCCAATCAAATATACTCAGTAGGTTGCTGCGACTGAATCCACTCAATTAGTCTCAGCTATGGGAAAGTAACTTCTAGTGTTTTATCATGATAGTTTTGGTAGAAACGAATTTCTCCAATGGCGGCCGAGGCTAGATAAGCTTTCCCACGTTTCAAATTACCCACGCCTTAAACTAACTCTATTTCCATAATGCATGGTCCGTGGCTCCAGCTAAGTTAATATTACGAATCGATTCCCATTTGGCGTATCTTTAAAAGCATTCATGTCACTCAACGCAGTAATACGATGCAAAAATTGTAGGGCACAACCAAGAAGAAACAAGAAAATAAGGAAAAGATCACATACCGTGGTCTTTCTTCCTTTTAAGTTGATCATCCAAAGAAGGAAACAAACTTGATGCAACCCTCCGGCTGTCATCCTGTCCCGATCAGCATCTCAAAGGTAAACATCTAACTAAACAGCTCGATAATATAAAAAGCTGCAATACTTTCAGGTTGACTATCACAAAAGAGACTCAGTCCACCAGACGAAGGGATGATGGGGGAGACATAATATTCCAAAGTCACAAGAGTATTGATTCACTATGGGAGTTCCATATAATATAGCAACCCGACCACTGGGGCTGCAGCTAATATGAGCTGCGATTTCATCCATATGGAACACTAGCCAGGGGGGCCTATTTCTCACAAGATAACTAGCCAAAACTGAACTAGCAGGGAAGATGATTTTATGAATAAGACTTGCATCTTAGTGGAGAGCCATAAACATTTCAACCAGTAGAGTCACCATTCAACATTACAGAAACTAATTACTTTGCAGATAGATTTATCTAAGCGTCAAAACCTGGAACACCAAACTAGAACCCTCTTGAAAAGAAAACTGGACACTTTTTTGTAGGCTTGAATTCCCAGAACAAATCTAGTATGTAATTTATGTCAGTGATAGAGTCAAAACCAAACCTACCTTTGTAGAGCCACTCCCAGAGAGCTCGAATACATTTTTCCACAGTGAAGATGCAACTGGAACCACGGAAAATCCTGACGAAACCAAGGTTCCAATCCACAAGCCATACCCAAAACCTCCACTCCACCATCCCTGAAAAGTATAAAAAGAGAATCCTTAAGAACAATCGCCTTACTCCTCTATGCCTAAACAACAGTCACTCTAACAACGTCACCGGTATGAACCGAAGCAATTAAAGAGGTATTCAAGATAAATATACACACCAAAAACTACTTAGAATAAGTGCATGCCCTAGATTAGAAAGAAACAAAATAACTGGAAGAATTGGCACATATACCTTTTTCCAAATAACAACAAGCAACTTGCTTACAGTCACGAATTTCACAATTGTTTACAAACTCAAAGCCCTCTAGAATAAATTGCTGAACTACGGATCATTCTTAATCAGATTGACAGAGCATGTTTAAGATGCACTTTTTTTAATCTTTAATGCAGACTTCCTTGTACTGAACAGGTGCACTATATTCATGTGAATGATCCCAAATGTCAAGACATGACACAAAGTCAGTACATATTAGTTCACTTCAACTATTCTCCCACGGTGGAAATGTAGCCACGAGAGAAGAATGAAAGAAGAGACAGATGATATGTGGTCAGTAGGCATGCATATGAACATCACAAAAAGTTCAGAAAATCAATTTTATTCAAACCTACCTGTTTACCATCATTAGGAAACGGAATTGACTGTTCTATGTATGCCTTTGTCCCTAATTTAAGAAGCTCCGAAAGTTAGTAACGTTAAGTAAAAGGGATAACCAATACATATAGGAAAATGAATGTGCTCCTTTGTGATGGCTTAAAACTGAACTCATAATGTTATGGAAAAAAAAAAGCAGAACATCTGCATTGATTTCCTAGCACCAAAACAGAAGAAACATGATAAGCCCTGAAATTTTACTTCCAGAGTACCAACAATGCAAGCTAAAGATACTCACTTCAAATAGATCCAGCCACCATGCCACAATACAAATGCCAAAAAGTTTCAACCCAAGTGGAAGCATAAATAAAAGCTCTTATGCATTTTCCATTCCAATTTCACCAATCTGCCTCCTAACATTTTCCATTTTTTTCCATAGTATATATCAAGCAGATTGACTACCTATAAAGTCCAGAAGAAATTACGTGCAACCTGCAGCCAGCCCAAGACCAGCAAATTAGAAGACAGTGAGGATAACCTTTACCAACAACAACATGACCTAGTATGACAAGTTAACAACTACCACAACACCCAACAAAAAGCTGGCACAACAGGCTACAACTTAATCTTTACATCACAACACAAACAATGAGACGCAGGATTCACTGATAAAAGAACGTGAAACGCAGGATTCAAACTTCAAAAAATTACCAATTGGAGCATCCAAGCTCCGAAGCAACTGAACGATAGATTTGGGATCCAATCGCCTTCGAGTTCTTTTACCAACCAGTACTGGAACAGCAGGACAATCAAACACCTATACCAATTAAATTTTCTAGCTTAAGAACAAGAATCTTGCAGTCCTTAGCGGATAAGAATGACAAATAACAACATGAGTAACAGAACCAAAAGATGAAACGAGTACTGAAATAGTTCACCAGATCAGTATAAGTTTGAAGAAGTCATGATCAAGTGCAGTCTCTATCTCTAGTCTAGGATAGACAACTTGTGCACGTTTTGAAGCTACGGAATTGCATATAAAAGGGAAAAACAAAGTAGATCAGATAGGCAAAATTATTATGCAGTTGACAGCTTCTCATAAATTGCCCCATTATTTCTACTCTTAAAGCTTGTCATCAATAGGCTCAACATAAACACTATGCCTCCTACAGGGGGCTTTTCACCCATCCTTCACAATACTGCTTCAACCAATCACCAACAAAAACAGACACCCCCTTTCTTTCTTGGATAATGAAGGGGCCATTCCAGTAAGACATCATTTTCGAAAACGTAATAACTTTAAATTTAATGTCTGATTGTAAGCTCGATAACCTGATATTTACTACCGAAATTCCAGAGAAAAACCCAATATTGTCCATGTATCAAACACCTAGGACCTCAAAGAGCACTCTGTTCCGTGGCCAAAACTACACTGACTACCTACTCAGCTGCACATTCAAATTGACACTCAGTAATCGAGAAAAGAACTCAACACGCACAAAAGAGCACAACGAAATGGCCATTCACAATCCCAGACCTGAGCTGAAAACCCGGACTCGTCGGGTTTCAAGAGCGCCAAAGCACCCGAGAGATCCGGATCGATGCCGATAACCCAATCCGAGCCAGACCCACTTCCATCACAATCTCCCTGCCCGGAACTAGCGGCGACAGGGCAAGTGAGCGAGTCTAACCACCTCTGCTTCAGCTGAGCATCGGCGGACTTACCCTTAACCCTAATTCTCCCATTTCCACTCCCATTCCCACTCCCACCAACGCCCTCATTCCTCTTACCGGCACTCCGCGAACCGGGCGCGTCCAAAATCGGAACTTGAGCCTGCTTTGCGGTCGGAGCGGAAGAACAGAACAGCGAGGCGAAGCGAGGCCCGGCGAAGGAGACATTGGGTCTGAGAGCGAACCGGAGAGGGTTCATGATATGGGTTTGGAACTGGAACGCTTGTCGTTGTTGTTGTTGGTGAGGCTGGATTTGGAGGGCTGCCATTACAGTGCCTGGGAATGCTTGCGGTTCTTGGATTGTGTTCGCATGTCTGCGGAAACCAGCTCGGAAGTACGAGGAGGCTAAAAATTAGCGCGGTTTCCGAAATTTCGACTGTCTGTCTCCCTTCCGCTATAGCTGGTCGGAGAGATCTTTTCGTGCACTTGGCCTGTCGCCCGGCGCGTAGCCTCACGTGGCAGTCACTGATTAGTCGAACCTAAACGAGATTCATATCTATTAAATGATTGTGATTATATTAATTTATATGATTTATGGATTATGCAATAATTTCTCTTAACGGTGCGAGATTATATTCGGTTCAAGGTCTGTATAAAAAGATCGATATGGAGAAAAAAATTTTGCCCTCACTTTATTTATTGAGGCGGTAAATCGAGCTATCGCGTCAAAAAGGAGAAAATCATCGTATGACAACATTAATGTAGAATTCATCTTATTTATGAGGGTATTTGTATGTATCCCATGCCATGACATCCTACAACAATTTAACTAAGCTTTACCTGGTTCTTCGAGGGAAAAAAAATGGGAGAAATCTCTAACACCGTTGACTGCTTGGGGTGTTAGCTTTGGTGTGTTTATCAAGCTAAGAAGAGAAGCGACACTCATTGTGAGTAATTTGTTCTTGTTTCAAGAAATAAGTAGAATTTGAGAGCTTGCTCGTTTAGACTTTTGATTATTCAATTCGGTATAGGAAATCACTCATATCTTGTCTCGCATCGTCAATACACACGACACAATCCCTTTTTTTTTCCAGTAAAATTGCCCATTGTCCACGTTCATGAGATAGAATCCCATGATGGTCATTTCTCAATATATTTGCATGATCAAGTTGGTAATTTTTTATGTCCAAAAAATAAAAAGTTGGTAACTTTTTCAATGGATTAGATAATGATCACAAGCCTGTAACAGAATCTCATCAGGACGAATTACTTTGGTGGCTTTTCTTGAACCTATCAGCTGCAATCTCAGTGGGCTGAAGAGGGCGTTCATCCGTTCTCTCTTGAAGTCTGTCTTGACCAACTTTTCCATTTTCTTCCTGGCGACCTTTTGGCTCCAATTGGTAGGACTCGTCCCGTGGCATTTCGTGCTTTAAATCTTGCGTCCTCTGCCAGAATTACAAGGCCTCGCATCTTCAACCTCTCCGGCATATCCCCCCCTTTTGAAACCCATCAGCAGGTCACAACACTACAGAGACCAATAAACAATCATGCACGATCCGATATGAAAGAAAGGAACCGGACAAGAGCATGTGGCGTGAACCATTCCATGTCGTTTTCGACCCACAAAGTCTGAACTTAACGCACAAGAAAGATCATGCGACACCCGCGTGAATAAGAACAAAAACAGAGATCTTCCATCCCTTACTTCCATGGCATGGAGGAACATGAACCCCCCTCCTCCAATCAGGAGGAATAGTATCAGCTGCATCGAACCGGCCTACAGAATAAGCTTAAGACCGAGGAATGGGACAATTTACAAGCGGACTTGGATCAAATGAATCTTATTCTGTACCTAGTAAAGATCCGGCTTATCAGATACCGTTTTGTTTTACAAATCAATCTTAGTATTCGGAGCACAAAACATGATTTTAATAGTAATTTAATAGCAGCTTACAATGCCAAACTTTGAAGATTGCTTTGGCCACAAAAGCAGGCATACGAAACTCTCTCTTATATTAGGCCAAGATTTCCCTTGTATTCAGGATCAAGAAAAGGGTTAACCGCAAGGTAGCCTCCAAAACCAAAGCTCCTTACAGTACTCGGCGCACACATTTTCCCTCCTTATTTTCTCAGCCGAGAAAGTTTCGAGAAAATCATAGCGATGGAGATCGTGGTTTCCCACGACGTCGCCGCCACCAACATCCATCTGAGCGCTCCCGCAAGCCCAGACAGCTGCAGCTTCGAGGGTCTGCTTTTCTACAGCGCCCCTGGGAGCCCCAAGACTGAGCCCCCCACTCCTAGAGCCTCCTGGAACGACGGCGGCGACTTCGAGTTCGAGACCAGTCGCCGGTTCGACGATGTCGTGCTCGAGAGCCCCGCGAAACGACAGCAGCATCCGCAGCGAGAAGAATCACGACCACGAGAGAGGCCACGCGAGCGACCTTGCATGGCGTTCGCGGACGAGCTCTTCTGCGACGGGAAGGTCAAGCCGCTGAAGCTCCCGCCGCGGCTCCAGAACGACGGCGCCGACGGGTCGCGGGCTCAAACGCCGGTGGCTTCTCCGACGTCGTCGCCGCGTTATGCTGGCGCGAGGAAGAGGCTCGCGAGGCAGAGGAGCTTGTGGGACGACGACTTCGACCCGTTCGAGGTCGCGCTGGAGCGGGTGAGGGCGGAGGAGAGAGATTCCGGCCGCCGGAGGAGCAGGTCCTTGTCTCCGTTCAGGGGTTTTGGCGGCGCGGGAGGCGACGGCGACAAGGCGGTCGGGATGAGGTCCAGCGAGTCGACTCGGTGGACTCGGCAGGGGAGCGTCAGAGAAGAGAGAGCCGACGCCGGCGTGCAGTTCTGGCGGGCTAAAAAGAAGGTGGAGCCCGTGGAGCAATTCGACCCGGTCCATGACAAGAGCACCCAAATATGCTCCCTTGAAGAAGAAAAACAGGTATTTGTCTTTTATTTAACCAAATTGAAACATCGAGATTTTTCGTATTGGATGAAGATTCGTGTCTGGGCATTGCTAGTATAATCGAGTCACGACATTGCCCGCATCTACCATAATCGGGCAATTCCGACCGTTGGAAGCCCCTAGCAATGGCATAGAAATGTTGCATTTGTAGGAGCTCGAACTCACACGATTCCTCAAAAGCAATCGAGTATTGGGTCTAAGTCAACTCGGTTAACTCTTGAAGTTTATGGATGATATATTTCATCACGAGAAATGTGATATATGATTTAAAACATAAATTAGGTGTGTTTGGATCGGCTTTTATTAGTAATTTATCGTTGTATGTCTTACTTTAGCTTTGAGATATGAATTTCGTTCAGTACTAAACAAGCCATATCCTTGCTGCCTTCCAAGTAACGTGGAAAAGTGATTTTATCCCAAATCAAAAGAAAATAGTTATGTAACAAATCTTCTCATTAGGAGTGTAATTACCCAATAGTGCTTTTGGTCGTATCTGTGCAGAGGCAAACGAAGCTGGCATTGGCAGAGCCAAGAGGAGCGGACTTTGCAAGGAGAGTGAGGCTAGTGAAGATGGACAACCATGCAAGTCCACGCAAGCCAACCTTGACCGCCGTCTCAGTACCTGAAGTCACAAGCACACCAGATCAGGGGAAAGAAAATGGAGGGTCTGTCAGCATCACAAGAGAATCGAAGAGGCAGAGGATGAAGAAGTTCATCCTAAGGAGCACGTCCCTGGGGAGAGAGTTCGGGACGAAAGAGAAAGGGGGAGATTCTCCATCGGCTGAATCAGCGAGGAAACCGAACATCTTGAGAAGAATGAGCTTCAGGTCAACAGGGTCGAAGCCATCAGGCCAATGCAGCGAGGGCAAAGAAGTGAGCACAGTGGGTCAGATGACACCTGTGCGCTACAGGCCCAGGATGCTGCTTTGTCTGGGCTTTGGGGTCAAAAGCTCCATGCATGGGAAGTGAAGTTTTTGGGATGTTTTTCAGGAGCACTGGTTGCTAAACAGTGCTGCTAGTTCAGCTTTCATGGCGTTTGTTCTTTTTGGGTGAATTCATATTCATATTGGATGTGCTCTTTTTTGTTGTCAATTCCACCTCAGTTTAAGGTAAATATCTTCTGTTCAGTAGGAGCACGTACAGCTGTTGATTCGACAAAATGCGTTACTTCTCTCGCTATGAACTGTTCTGAGAGGTATTTTTCTGTGTCATTGTATGAAAATCCCAGCCATTACAATGGAGGAATGAAAGGTGTTACAAAACTTTCGCCAATTGATATCTGTTCAAGCTGTTGCAGTAAATTCAAATTGGCATTAGTATAAATATTACGAACAATACAGAATTGTAAAGAAATGAAATTACAATAACAGAATTGGAATCGATACAAATGGATACCGAGGCCTGTGTTCGACACAGTTTCCTTAAAACAGATTCGTTCCCTCCAGTACACGATTGAGGTTTCGTGAACGTATGTTTCTCAGGATACAATGGTTGACAGCAAAGAAGAGATCACGGCACTTCCAAGCTTCCGGTGAACTTGAACAAACTAGAAATGAACACTACTGAAAAATAGTGCAAATGCAGAGAAAATTTTTTAAACAGAGGAAGAATGATTTTGATAAAAAAAAAGAACAGAGGGGAGAGAATTTCGGGAATAATAACGGCCGATTAAATCGGTCGTTACAAAATTAATATGCATCGGGAATAACGGCCGATTAAATCTGCCGTTATAAAATTAATTCCATAACAGCTTGCCGTTATAAAATTAATTCCGTAACAGCTTGCCGTTATATAATTAATTCCGTAATGATTGCCGTTATATAATTAATTCCGTAACAGCTTGCCGTTATATATAATTAATTCTGTAACGACGCCATTAACCTGCTATTAATCATACGTTACAAATTGAAATTTGTAACAGCTTGAGTTGAAAAATAAATCAGAAGGCAAAATTGGGCTCGTCGCGAGGCCCACTTTTCGGTCCTGCAATCGTATACATGGGACGTGCGCTCGCACCCAAGTTTCAGCTTGTCGAACGTCGGATTTGCACCCTTCTGCGCCTGCGCACGAGGCATAGTGTTTGTGCTATGATAGTTACCACTTCAAATGAGTGTAACTGTATATAAAGCACTACATAGCCTTCTTTCTTTTCCAATGTGGGACTAGTGTTTTTCCACTTCCCACTTCCAACTCAAGGGTGTTCTTTGAGCATCAATTTCTCATTCATTCACCCATCAATTTATCCCATATTTCCAACAATCCCCCACATGAATGAAAATTGTTTTAGTTTTGACTCTGTGATAGTGTTCAACAATTGAAACCTGCATAGGATAGGTAGGTGTTACCTTTTGAACCTTCCCTTGTGAAAGTATATTTACTTTACTAGTTGTCCAGTAGACATGATGTCCTTGAACTGTCCAGCTTTCTTATGTAAATAAACCATACACTTCACACAGGAATCATCTATACGTTTGTTCAGTTCTCATAGTTATGTTCGTTTTGGCCATGAACATCAA